AAAACCATTGATCCCCTTTCATCTCCCATCTATCTAATATACTCGACATAATTTTCTTAATTTTTTAAATCAACGAATTTATCTTCAAAATTCATGAATAATGAAACAGAATATTTGCCGAATGAAAACATACAACTCTACAGGACAAAAAGGTACAATTATCGTTTGCGGTAACTTCTTTCATCTTCGTAACGCTTAAAATCATATTCATGAAGTTTCATGAATTGCATTGACCTCTCTCCACTTTTAAATTGCCTCCCATACCACCCTCGCTTCACCAGCTACCTTCTTTCTCGTTACTCCAAAAACGCCGATTCTGACGAAAGCTAAATAATTTCACAAAAAAATTGAATAACGATCGTAGAGATTTATTACGTAACTTTTGCAGTTATTTATATACTATGATGTTTTTTTTTTTAAGTGTATTGACCTGACGGATTTATCGCTCGATACCTAATGTTCACATGTATCACGAGTACAATATTGTTTGGTTTAACGTCGTCGTGCACGCCCGAATTCTCTCAGATTCTTTATAGCGTCGCGATACGGCGCGGCCATTTATTTTGATATCAAGTTTCTCACCAGAGGCTTCCCGCAGAGAAGCTGCTATAGAAACGGCGCAGCCGTTTTATCGTGTTCGAATCTCGATTGCTTAAATCCGCTAACGTAGTTACGTATTTTACGACGCGAAAGGAAATAACGACGTTGGTCGCGCCGGACTTGTCCCTTACCTTTACTACTGATTGCCGCTACTTTTATTCGTTGTCGTATTCATGATATCTCGTACATGCTCTTACTTACGATATAAAAAGTAATGTATGTAGAATGTTGTATAAATATTAAATATTACTTTCTGTGCAAAATCAACGTACTAACGAGTGTAAAAAATGCCGACTTCATAAAAATAAAAAAATAGCTTGTTAAAAACTGGATTAAAATCCAGTATTTTAATTTATGAACGAGAAGTAATTTTCATTTGACATGTGCATTAATTACCTTATCTCGTTTAATTCTGCATTAATAATTTCCGTTTAGCATACACATATTCAAATCCACATTTTTTAAAAGTTTTCATGCGAAATACCGCGTGATGAAAGTTAAATATAAAGGAAAAATTATATTTAAATAATTTAAAAATATTTTAAAGATTTTCCGACATTATCTCATTTTACATATTTATGTACTCGCTATAAACGTTACATTAATATATTTCAGATTTTGTACATTTTTCATTCTTTTAACAAACACTAGTTTCAAATCAGACGTGATAACGACTTCGGCTTGTTCGCGGCACAACTGCGAAACCTGACACCTGATTTTTTTGACATTTAGCCAGTGGGTTGCTATATAGAATTTCCATATGCCCAACATACTCGCACTCGCATACACATTTGATCAAACTCTTGCCTGAAACGTAAAAATTCGAAACAATTTTTTGATATTTCAAATAGTTTCGCAGATATTCGTCCATTACGGTTATTTCATCTGTCTTCATCCGTCTTTAAAAAAGAATCGTATCTTGGATTACTCAATGTTAAAATTTTTCCAAAAGATTTACCGCAAGTAATATTGACTACGTTGATAGATTTTTACAACAACCATTTCTCGCTGTATTATGTAAAACCGAATATTTGAACGAATTTCCCCGTGCAAGAAATTCGCATTTCGATTGCGCCGTCGTCCCAAGCGGCCCTTAAATTTCGCTTCAAAAGTGCATAAGTCACTCCGCTCCTGGTGGTGTCCTAAAAGAAACCGAGCAAAAACCGAAGACGATCGTAAATAATTTGTCGCACGCTCGTCTCGTTCCGCCCGTCTCGCAAATTGTAAGACGCGACAAAACAACAACAACGACGGAGGATCAATTTTCCCAACTGGGCGCGTGTTTTTATTTATTTTTCCACGTCATTATCGGCGCGCGTCGACATCGAGAGAGCTGAGAAAGTGAAAACCGATCCGCTCTTCGACCGGCGGTTCCGCAGTCCACAGAAGCGAGCGGCATACTCGTATATGAGTACGCGGATACCGTAGAATGGCGTAACCTGTACCGCGCGGAGATTGAATTATTTTTCTCCCGGAATAATTTCGCCATAAAATAAGAGCAGTACGAGAGTGCATGCACACTCACACACACATACACACACACACACAACCACGCGCGCCTGCCGCTCGCGGCATCATCCCCCTTGAGAAAAGCGATCCCTCTAACTCTCTTTTTCTCTCTTGGTTTCAGCCGCTTTTGCCTTTGCTTCTTGCCATATACTTTTCACTCCCTCTCTCTTTTCTCCCTTCGTTTCACCATCCCCGCAGACGAGGCCACTCGAGGCGAGTAACGTCGCTATTTTCCCCTACGTTTCCTTATATTACATTCTAGATACGGCCGCGGGGACGGCGCGCGGTGGAAGCTGAAAATTCCTTTCCTCTCCTGTTTCTGTCAGTGAATATCTTATCATAATATCAGCGGCACTGCTTCCGCAAAATCGTCGGACCCCCCTCTCCCAGCGCAAACCATCCCGCGACCCGCCCCCTCGATACATCTAACTCTCGGTGCTTTCATGCACAGTCTCGTCGCCATCCGTCCGATGCGAAACCGACCGCAAAGATGTCCAAGTAGTTTCGACGTATTCCGGAATATCGCGCGTTTCCGGCTCGATCGACACAGCTTGCAGTCGCCGGCGGTCGGCGGCTTCTTCCGTTCGATGCAGCCGTGGCGACGCAACGGATGCTGCGCGCTCGGATGCATTTGCCCCGAGAGCATAACTTGGCGATGAGACGCGGTATTTGCAAACTTTGACTTCGGCGCGCGTGTTCCGATATTGCGCCACGTGCCATACGGCTGAATGTGTTGTTCGCTTAAACTCGTTTCGTCCTTTTTCTTTTTTTCTTCTCCCTCGTCCCACATTTCTACCATGGCTTCGCCAACGGGTAACGATTTCTTACTTATAAAAGTGTATCGCGCCTTTCCGCTTCGATTTGCACTCTTTTCCCCCGACGCGGGGGTATTCGATTTTACGGTGTGCTGCCCAGTGGAAAGAATTGCTGGCGTTTTCGTAAAATAAAGCTAGTGCATTGTTCTGGCGAGAACAAAAAGGATGGAATCAAGAAGAATGAATCTGAACTCTTTTATTACGGGAAAATTGGACAACTCCGACGATCAATTACGTAATTTTCCTCTAGAAGTAGAAAGATGATAAGCGAGAATCTCCACGTGAACTTGCCGGAGTTACTCACGTAACTTCTTTCAACATTAAACAATGAGATTCCGCAGGAGGAGACTCGCGATGAGATTTCAAGCGGCCAAAAGTGAAAAGTGAGTAAATTTCACTAACAATTATATGATTACCCACCAGATGTGACGGTTCTCGGATCTTAACGACATAATTGGAAATTAAATGACGTTCTTATAATGTAATATCGGCGACACTTTTAGCATGTAATTTTGATGCAGTTGATAAATGCGTAATTTCTCTCGTTATTTTCATGTTTCAGCTTTACATACAATACACAACATACTATAAGAGCTGTGGTATGTTTACAACATAACATACCACTTTGTATGAGGCATTTGCATCAGATACAAAACACACACACATACACACGGTGCACACGCACACACGTTCGCGTGAGCTTATTGTAAGCTATGGTACGTTCACGAAAGCCACGCGAACGAGGTATTCACAATATATTTTAGATTAACGCTATTGTGATGAAGAATTCATCAACGCCTCTCCATAGTAGGCGTTTTGATGAATATTCATTATTATATTCCTCATTTATATCAGCCTTGTAACGTGCATCTCGCGATTCCTATGCATAGAACAAACTCGGCGCATCACCGAAGAGCTACGTGAACGACCTGCAATTCGTGGCGCTTGACAGGAAATTAAAACTATACTTCACTGTTCGAAATACGGTATTATACGCGTCAACGAGCCGTTAATCGTCGCTATTGCGTCCCGTCACGTACGTTTTAACGAGAGTAACGAATCATGAACATCGAGGCACTGCGTCACTCCTCGAGTGGCATAAAATATTTGTCAAAGCAACGCGCGCGCACGCGCGCGCGCTAAGCTTCGCGTATAATAATTTATCGCGAGGCATGAACATTTAAAACATTATTTCATGTTATGGCAAATGGCGACAAGTTGGGAGAACGGGCGATAGATATTAGTTTAAAAATCTCGCTGCGACATGATGTATCGCGCGCACACGCGACGGTGTGTCGCCAGAGTATCAATAATGCATCGCGAAATATTTATTTTAGCCATCGCAACGTCGCTATATTACGAAATGAATTCAATTCTCGCGTACACGGTAAGCAACATAATAATAATTAGCGTTTACGATAATTACAACGCAAAACGCTCAAACGATTCGAATATTTCATTTTAAACTTTCATAAAAAGTAATATTTCCTTTTTTGCAAATCAGTGTAAATTTACACAGTTATTTCAGTACTGCCTTGATGTTTTCAATTTACCCATCAATGTAATATCTATTGTATACTACGGCACGCATATTCTGCAGCGATCATATTCAATAAAACATTCAGCGAACGGACAATGGCATAACTTGCGGTAACACAAAGTACTTTTATTCGGTTCAGTAGCTTAAAAAACAGTTCAAAATTTTAATATTCGACACTTTTATTACTTATTAAGATATTCAATAATGAATATTAAAAAGGGTAACAAACGCGTTGACCTCTCTCAAATATTTTGTTAAAAAATTATTCTGTACCCATCAAAGAATGTCATTAAAATTACGTCCGCAAATTCCAGGAAACTCTATATTATAATAGGTATAACTTAACTTTTATCCGGGCAATCTATTTCTAAACGTAAATGAACGATATTATTCCTCTCTTCTGGAACTTCATTCAAGAAAACAGTTCCAATTGAAATTTCATAAAGTATCAAAAGAGAATCACGTTGCCCGGGTAAGAGTCTCTAAATGCCTGAACTTAATTAGAAGCATAACGCGAAGCCTCCTTCGGTTCGCAGATGTGCCGAGCTTCTCCGAGCCGATCGGCAACGTGACCGCCGCCATCGGCAAAGAGGTCGCTCTCTCCTGCACCATCAGGAAAGTGGGAAATTACAAGGTAAGCAGCCGGCGAATTTTCGCAAGAAGAAGCGCGGCGCGGCGTCGACGCTCGCGGGAGAGCAAGCACCGGGGCGCTAATTAGCCGGCTTGGAAACGCATAAGCGCGCGTTGCCGGAGCGATAAGAGAATCTGAAATTCGGGTAATCCTGCGGAAATAAATGGGTCGCTCCAGGCTGCTTCTGGCAGATGTCAGGAGTGCGGGGAGGGGGTTGTCTTTTTGCGCATTCCAACCCACCGTTTCCTGTATTTTTCCGCGGGCGCGAGTTTTCCGTTCATTCGCTCGAAATAAGTCGAGATGATATACACCGAGATTTGCGATAAATAAAGAGAAACTAGTTACATATACCGATTCTTATTAGAATAATTGCATCAATGAATAATTAATTAATTAAAGATTAACTTTGTCTTTTCATGGCATCAAAAATGTAAATTTTTATATTTTGTGCGTAAGTCAAATAAAACATTTTAGGTCATTTTGTTGTGCAAAAAAATTCAATAATACCCGGCTTGTGTCAAAAAAATTCTTTCTCGCACATATCTACGGAATAAATCGTCCGGTTAGTACGATAAGCGGCTAATATCAAACACTGAAACAACTGTATACATTTCACGCTAAACCTTCTCGGCAATTCTCAGGAAATAAAGAGGGCGAGAAACAACGAGGCACCGAATACGAATCGCGCAGTATGTTTGGTAGCGCAATTTGCAACGCAAATGTATAAGTGCATTCAATAGGCCATACATAAACTGCTAGTGGCGCGTACAAATGTTTGTTTTTTTTTTTCAGGATATCGAAATTGCCACTTTGTTTTGGAGCATTTTGTCATCGACTGCAGCATTAAACTTATAATGTAGGTCGCGCAAATCAATTAATTACAGAGTTTAAAGTCAAGCCACGCGTGCACTAGCAAAATCATACGGATTGCTTTATGCAAATTCAGAGACATTGCGCGGCGGTGATTTTTTCCTCGCTTTGATGTGCGATTAAACGCGTTAAAGCTCGCGCGCGTCATCGCACTGCCATTATTTCATGTTATTTTAGCCATGACGCTTTTAACGCGCGACCGATACGCGGCCGCCTGTAAAATAAAATTCGATAACCGCAAATTTGTATGCGGCCGGATCGACTTCGCCGGCATGTAATACCAAACGAGTGAATACATCTTCGTCAATTGAACGCTAATTATAGCGGCGCCATGACGCACGAGGGTCATGCGAATTTTACAGAAAGCGTCTCATATTATCGTCCGGACGATCTAAAACGTAAAACAAAACGCGTGATAAAACGGCGAAACGGTAGACCGAATAATGGGAAAATAAAATTTACGGTATACAAAAACGGATTACACAGTAATTATGTAAATCAAGAACGAAAGCTTCGTTAATCTTATTGAAAGTAGACTGTATTTAATATATCAATCAAAATTTCATTTATTCAACAGATATAAAATAAAATTTACGCAATATGTGAGAAATATAATCTACCAATAACGCAAGTATTATTGGCTTGCATAAAATACAAAAAATATAGGAAACGTTAAGTTTTTTTAACATAGAAAACATAAAACAATAAAAAAAAAACACAAATTAATCAGAAAAAGTCTACAAAGCAATTACTGCGTATTCAAAAACAAAAGAACATGATATTATAAAAATAGAGATGTAAAAATTTTTGAAACGTAACCGATGAAATGAATACAGAACAATGTTCCATTGTTGCAACGCAAATGTAGAAAAAGCTACATAACAGGAAAAGATAAAAAGAGCTAATGGTCACGATGTTCAAATTTCGTATAAAAAAAAATTCATGTCGGTGGAATTCTACCTCGCGATTGGCGAGACAACAAGCCTCGCTTTCCGCATATTTTACGGACCTTTCACGGTAGATAACATTTCGGGCACCTCGCGAGAGGGTAGAATCGTATCTAAGCAGCTTAATTAAACGTTCGGGCGGCATAATACTCCGATACTCGCGATCCTGCCACGGCGTTAATGTTCAGCCAGCGTAATTATCCTGTTTAATTTATTCTACAACGTCTTGTAGTTTACGATCCAGCAATTCATTCTAAAGTACGAAATATGCGCGCGCCCGAATAACAACGATACGCCTTCACGATACGAATCGCAAACTTTCATCCACGGATTATAGCTATGCGCCACATATCTGGATTTTCTCTTTTTTTTTTAATCGCGCTTTACGTACTTTCACGCGGGTACAACAAAATCGAATACACTTCGCGGTTGGCTCGAAAACACTCTGGGCGATGGCTGTTTGCCGTTCGGCATACACACATACGACTAATACTTTTTACATGCTTGTGTGTGCGCACAGCTGTTTTTATACATCGCCATATCTCGGAACTATGTCCCGTCGACAAACAGACTCGCATATTTGTACACTATGGATAGGTAGTAATAAGAGTGCTTTATGTGCACACGGTTCTCGTAGTTAGAAAGAAACTGCAATAATGGCATACCTTTTAGTGAACGAACTATGTGGGCTCGATGCCAGTTATCAAGTTGCTTAGTCGCCGTACTTTCTACCTGCAACACATCGTAGAATATATATATAAATTTCTCTCTTTTACATTATATATAAATCTATATATAGGATTTAAAAAATTATTCGTTAAAAATAAGAAAGAGTAAAAAAGTTTGCTTAAATTTATAAAATATATTATACGCATATTTTATATATATAAATTTTATGTTAATACAAAAATTGCTAAGTCGTGCGAAGATATAAAAAAGAACCAAGAAAATTTAAATTTGCTTAATAATTCGCGATAACTTTAAGTATACACCTTTATCGTCGCGCATATTGCTAGTCGCTGCTCTCACCGAAATGGCGCGAAAAATGGGCGAGCAGGTGGTTATTCATCGCCTTTATACGTGTCGCGCAGAACACCGATGCAACACATGCGGCATATGCGACCGAGAACTTAGCCTCTGTGTAAAACGAAGTTGCGCGAATACAATTCGTACCCGCGGTACACACCGACTTCGCCGCGCCAACACGTCACTGGTTAAAACTTTGCAACACTTCACCCTCGCGCGCACTTAACACTTTAACGCCGAGAAGCTAAATATACATATACCCGTCTCTCAAACAATAGAGTTGTCGAATTGGGGACGTTTCGACGCGTAAAGCTTCTACTTTTCTAAAAAAACATATCTCTCTCGCCACCACGTTGTTATACGTGAAATCGAATTCGATATAAGCTCGGTAAACCTAGATTTCAATATCACGTACCCAATTTCTTTACACATATTTATTTCATTTTACGAAAATACCACGATTGCCATTTTCATTAAACAGAAAGCACGGAAAAACGGAATAAAAAATTTTGTTTCAAGTTTATACCGAAAATTGAGCTCGGGGAGATTATATTGATTTCGAGCTTTTATCTCTCCCGAACAAGTTATCTCTCGCATCGCTGCATATAGGTATTTGATTGCAAATACCTCGGTATTTAATATTTCTGTAGCTTACGTACGTTATTAAGAGCAGTTAATATTTGTGCAACTGGTTCAGTTAAAGTGTACATTCTGCCTGAAATAGCAAGGCTCAGCAGTCAAGCCTGAAAACGATCAGACGGAATATATAATCTCCGATTTAATAAATCTTCTCCCCATTCCTCATGGCAAATTAAAATTTCAGATTACGAATATCAACGTCGAATTTCCTCGGATATAACATAAACGAAATCATTTGTGCGTTCAACCGTTCTTAATTAGCACGGCTAATCAGATATTGCGATCGAAGTTTCATTTGTTGGACATCGTCAGCTAGCAAGGAAACTGACTCTAAAAGACGATCATAATGAATGAAAGGAAATGGAAGCAGCTGCCGTTACTGACACAAAAGTACGATCCTAAAAGCGTGCAATTTTCAGGAGATTATAAAACGCCTTTTGCGACAAGTAGATAAAAATTCGCGCGCGCACGCACACACTCGCACACAAATCGCACACACACCAAGATCTACACTTTAACAGCGGATCTTTCTCTCAGCGCGCTTTATCTTCGCGGAGAGTTCCTCAGTGTTTTCTTACTATTCTTGTGCTCGTCTCGACCGATCTTTCTAAAGCCTTCTACCTAAACGAAAAAAAGGCACCGACAAGCTTGAAGCTTTTAGTATCCGCGGCACCTTTTCAAGGAAGTAAAACGAGGCAAATCGCCGAGATGCAGCGCGGCAGACGGTGCCTACTTTCTTTTTCCCCCCGTCGACGCGAAAGACGGATCGAGAAAAAAATGGACGAAGATATCCTCTCTGTGAGGTGTACGTGACGGGCTCTGATCCCTTAAACGTTCTCATTTGCGCCGTCGCGAAAGTCGAAACGCGCGCTCGAAAGAAATCAAAGCCATTCTCTCGCATTTCAGCGCGAAGACAGACTAAGCGTGAAGTAGAATATCCGCACCATTTTCACTGAATTTTTTGCTACAATCTTGCAATCAGTTGCAGAAAAAAAATTGCCTTATTAATTTTTCCTCCGTTTTAAGTACGTCGGATATCAAGAAGTGTTTTCTCGCATTGACGATAGGAAATTCAATTCGTTGCTCAAGTCACGATCAAGTTAACCTCGTTATCCGATTTTCCTGTCTATTCATGTAATTACGGATATTGGCAAGCTCAAAGCGGATTAAATCAATTCACATAAGATCATCCATTATCGCAGACTAATGGTGAAATAGGATAGGCGCACGTAGACTAGGACCGATGAAACATAATAGCAAATATCCGATAAACATAAATCCACGAACGTTCTCTTCCTCGATATCCGTACGTAATCCAATTATATTTTAGACGATGTACGTGAAATGAGGGAAGATTGCAATCGTAAATGAACGTGAATACAGGAATATGAATAGCGGTCTTTCGAAAAGCGTGTCGGGACGAATTTACTTGCTTATGACGATTCATTTATCACCGTCAACTCTCTCCTCTCTCTCTCTCTCTCTCTCTTTCTTTCTGCATCGCGCGCGCGAGATATCGTC